TCACAATGTTATCTAGGAACAGTTGAGCAATGGAACTGGTAGTATATGGATGCTTGACTGGAATGAAATGGGCATACTTATTGAGTCTATCCACAATTACCATGATCATAGTATAGCCCTCAGACTTTGGGAGGCCCTCAATGAAGTCCATGGACACATCTTGCCAGACCCCTGCTGGAATGGATAATGGCTGCAACAGTCCAGCTGGGTGCGTATGAGAATGTTTTGCATGCTAGCATACAGGGCACTGTTTGATGTAACTTTCAATGTCAGTCTTCATGCCGTTCCATTCAAAGTGTCTCTTCATTCTGTGATAGGTGGCATGCAGCTATTAATTTTGTTTGGAGTGTTGAGTTGTTGCCTATCCAGATGAGCTCATTCTTCTTGATCAGTCCTTGGTCCAGCCTGTATCCCTTGTCATCAGGACTGTGAATAGCCAATTGACTGAGGAGTTGCTGAGCATGTGGATCAGATGTGCATGAGTTTAACACTTCCTGTATCCATTGTGGTTGCACCATAGAAATAGCTTGGATGGCAAACATGTGAGCAACCCTGGACAAGGCATCTGCAGCCATGTTATCCTTGCCTTTTCTATACTTGATTTTGAATTGTAGACCCATTAGCCTAGTCATGGCTTTTCTCTGCATGTCAGAGTGGAGATTTTGCTCAGCTAGGTAGGCTAAGGATCTATGGTCAGTCAAGATGATGAACTCTTGTCTTTGTAAGTAGTGCCTCCACTTTTCCACAGCCATAATGAGTGCCAGAAACTCTTTTTCATAGATAGACAACTGTTTGTGCTTCTCCCCAAGGGCTTTGCTGAGATAAGCAATGGGCTGACCAGCCTGCTCCTACTCCATCAGAGCAAGCATCTGTTTCAACAGTGAACTGAACTTGGAAATTTGGCAGGGCCGGAACTGGTGTTGTAGTCATTGCCTGTTTCAGCTGATGAAATGCAGTGTTGGCCTGTTCATTCCACTGGAACTGCTTTTGCTTGAGTAGTAAGGTGAGTGGTTTAGCAATAATGCCATAGTTTCTCACAAACTTTCTGTAATAGCCAGTGAGACCCAGAAATGCTCTAAGCTCTGTGAAAGATGTAGGGACCGACCACTGGAGCATGGCTTGAGTTTTTGATGGGTCTGTGGACACCCCTTGATCAGATATTATATGGCCCAAGTATTCTAAGCTACTCTTGGCAAAAGTGCATTTGCTTGCTTTGAGATACAACTGATTAGCTCTGAGTGTTTCCAGGACTTGCTGCAAGTGCTGGACATGAGTTTGCATGTTTCTGCTATAGATGAGAATGTCATCTAAAAACACTAACACAAATTTTCTGAGGAATGGTTGGAGAACTTGATTCATAATGCATTGGAATGTAACTGGGCATTGGTTAACCCGAAAGGCATGACCTTGAACTGGTAATGACCTTGATGTGTCTTGAATGCTGTCTTATGTTTATCTGCAGGCAGCATTCTTACTTGGTGATATCCAGATCTCATGTCAAGTTTGGTGAACACTTTGGACCCAGCTAGCCCATCCAAGATTTCTTCAATGATTGGCATTGGGAATTTGTTCTTGATGGTTATTGCATTCAGTTTTCTGTAGTCAATGCAAAACCTCCAGCTTCCATCCTTCTTCTTCGCCAATAGGACTGGGGAGGCAAAGGGACCGTGACTATGAGTAATCAGTCCATGCTCTAGCAGCTGCTTAACTTGCTTCTCGATTTCTGTCTTATGTTGTGGAGAGTAGTGGTAAGGTCTGGAGTTAAATGGGACTGCCTCTGGATATAAAGGGATTGCATGATCATAACTGCGTGGTGGTGGGAGTGTTTCTGGATCATTGAAGACATATGCATACTGATGTAATAACAGTTGAATGTCTTCATTGTCAGCTGTGGGTATGGAGCCAGTGTTGCTTGGTGGGTTTTTGTTGATATCTAAGATCACATAAGCCCAAATGTCATTTCCCTGGGTTGATTTGTAAACTTGCTTTGCTGAAATGTTGTTCACTTGCATTGTAGGTGGTTTGAGCCCTTGCAAAGTAACCTTCTTGCCTTGATGTGTGAATGTCAATGTTTTGGCCACCCAATCACATTGCATTGGACTGTGTTCTTGCAACCAATCATAGCCTAGAATTGCATCATAGAGCAAGAGGTCCAACACTATCATGTCTGATGTGAAGGTATGTCCCTGAATGTACCAGCTCAGATTCTGTACCTTTCTTGCTGTTGTCATCCACTGCCCATTGGCCAATTTAACTCTTTGTTTATCCATTGAAACTGTAGGTAGCTTGTTGATCTGCACAAAATGAGTACTAACAAAGCTATGTGAGCTTCCAGTATCCACTAGGGTGAGCATGGTTTTGTTCTTCACTGTTGTCTTGAGTTTGATGCAGTCTTTAGACTCAGTGCCAGCAAAGGCATTTAAAGATAGCTGACAGAAATCTTCAGTCAGCAGCTCATCAATGGCCATCTCATTGAGAAGGTCCTCACTGATTTCTTTATCAAGATCATTAACAACCAGAGCATTAATTTGAGGTTTGTTTCTTTTTTTTTTGCAGATCTCAGCATGTCCAGGCTCAAATTTTTCTTCACAGTGATAACAGAGATTGTTGGCCTTTCGATAATCTCTGAGTTGTTTGTCTCTCCACAAACTGCCATATGTATTGGTGGGTCTCTGGTCTTGCTTCTGCTGTGGCCGAGCTTGGTTAGGAGTTTTCTGATACTTGAGCTTGCTCCTTTCCAACTGGCGCTGTTGAATCTTTGCAATAGTTGCAGCTTTCTTGACAGTGGTGGGTGTGTGAGGCTCCACTACTGCTCTAATGTCATCCTTCAGGCCATTAACATAGGTTGTGGCAAAGAACAGCTCATCGACATTGGTACTGTGCATTGACACCTCAAATTGGAGAGCTTGGAACTGAGTAGTGTACTCCTCAACTGTGTTTGTTTGTTTCAAACTGAGCATCTCATTAACTGCTGATCTATAATCATCAGATCCAAATTCTTCATGCACAGCAGCACAGAATTGTTTCTAGGTGAGTTTCCTGTGAGTTTGCTTGTAAGCTTGCCACCACTTTGCTGCATTGCCCTGCATGTGCATAGCTGCTGCTGTTACCCATAGTTTGTCAGGGATGGTATAGATGGTGAAGTAGTTTTCACAATTGTCAAACCAGATTTTTGGGTGTTCTCCATCAAAGGTTGGGAATTGCATCTTTGGTAGGGAGTGATGTGGGATAGTATCTTTGGTATGCTGCTCATTGTAATGCTTGTGTGGTTTAGAAGATGAAGGCTTGGTGTTCTTCTTGCCCTTGGCAAAGACATTCTGGAAGCCATCTTCATCTTCTTCAAACACCACTGAACCAGAGTCATCACTGAAAATCTGATCTTCCTTGTCAAATTGCTGCATGTCAGCTGGGCCACAGCTTGGCCATTTGCCTTGACTTGCTGGGATATGAAATCTTGTTGTTCGGCAAATTTGTCTACCTTCTGATTGCTAGCCATTACCTGTTTCTTCAAATCTTGCTGTGCCAGGTTAATGTCATTCATCCTATCGAACAACAGATCCACACTCTCCATCATATGATCCCATTTGGACTTATCATCATCACTCTTCTTCGACATTTGTTCTAGCAAGATTTGTGTTTGCTTGGATGGTTTGACTGCTGCCGTTGCGGCACTCTGTGGAATACTTGAGGAATCCACGGTGAAACAACAGGGTTTGGCCTGAATCTCCCCTACCGCGTGTTTCACCAAAACTCAACTCCTGGAAGTAAGGCGGGATCGAGGGATTTTACACAGAGGTGACACTCCGCAACCCAAATCCACGGATACTTCCTCGCCGGCGCCACCGCACCACTCAAGCACGACCGAAGTCAGTGGTTCACGCCGCCGAACCCTAGGTGTCAGTGTAGTCCCCCAGTCGGTGTAGTCGTAGCCGAAGTCGGAGGCGAGGATACCCGTCGCGCCGCCGCCTTGCGCCTGCGTTCGCAGTGGATGCGAACCCCGTCTCGCCGCCGCCGTGCGCCGAGTCACTCGCCAGATCTGGTCGACCCAGCAAGTAGTCCCGTCACGCCGCCGCCGTGCGCTTCAGCTCGTCGTGGAATCGAGCTCCCGTCACGCCGCCGCCGTGCGTCTCTGTGGTTGGTGGATCGGCGCGATCTAGCAAGTTCGAAGTGGTAAATTCGGTGAGATAGGGTAGGGATCCGAGGAACGACCGCCTTTGATACCACCTGTAAAACCCGTGGCCACCGGTGATCGCCAGCGACGTGAGAGAGACAGGGATGGCACGCCGGATTTGGCCAACGGAGCAGAGGAACCTCTCGCTCGCGTTTTACTGTCTTAGTAATAATAAATTCGATGTCTTGCTTACAGCAATAGTTTAGAATATAAGGCACTTGGCCGACTGACTAGATGACCCTACAAGGCATACTCTAGCTATTACATAAATGATAGGAGTACGTCTTCTCCTCTGAGCCGCGTACTGCTCTCCGTCTTCAGCCTTGTGTCGTGACAGAGAGGGATCACAGTCAGGAACAGATCGGAGCCGAAACAACAAGGGTAGCTATTGATTTGCTTGTCACACAAAAAGGAAACGCAATCAGTAAACAGAAAAAAGGCGTAGTCGACAGAGAGACTTTTTTCAGACATGAGGAATGGGATCCTTTGCTTTATATACAATCCATTCCCCACAGGAAATGTCTTTTTCTTTTCTCTCTTCTCTTTTTTTTGTTTCTTTTCTTTTGATACATGCACAAAACCTTGGGAAGGGAAAACTTACAACGAGAAGAATAATCAGACCTCTTTTCTTCGTAATGAGACACAAGATTGGCGAGTGGACGGAGGAAAATGGAGATCTACGTCAAGAGCTTAAGTATACGCGGGTTTAGACCGGTCACTCGGTCCTTGTCAAGGCCTGGACCGGCATCACCAGGAATCTCATTATTTTGAGCTATCTTCTATTTCCATTGCAAAATAAGGGGGGGATCCGTCGTCACCTGAGGCGGTTTCAAGCGAAGGAAGCCCGACGCTGCAGATGCCTCAGGCTCTGCTCCATGCTGACCTTCACCATCTCAGCAAGCATCTTCTTCGCCTTGCCGCCACGGTCTTCGCCGTCTATTTGGGAAGCAATGTTGGTCACGAGGTTCTCGAGCGTGTCTGCCTGCAGCTTTGATCTCGAGTACGGTGAGTTACGCAACAAGTCAAGAAGAACATGAGCCTTCATTCGGGAATTGGGTGTGCCATGGACTGTAAGCTCAAGAAGACCAGGAATCGCCCCTTCATTCAGAATGAGGTCTCTGTACTTGCTGCGATTACTCTCGCACATTGTCAGGAGCGCTCCCACAGCGTGCTCTCTGCCCTGAAGGGAGCCTTCCTCAAGTACCTCCACGATGGCGAGCACTCCGCCTTCCTCAGATGTCAAGGCCACCCGACATTGATCGAAAGCAAGCAATGACTCGAGAAGAGCACAGCATTTGTCGGCTGTTTTGGAGGACCTCTTGCCACCTTTCAGTAGCTCTATTAAAGGAGGAATAGGCTGAACTGAAAGGATGGCTTGAAGATTGTCAGCGATTGTGGAGAGGTTGTAGAGAGCCATCACAGCATCATTCTTGGCTTGAGGATTCCCTTCTTTGAGGACTTTCACGAGTAGAGGAATTGCTCCCGAAGCACTTATGATAGGCTTATTGGTGGATGAGGCTGAAAGTGTAAGGAGAGCAGCAGTCGCATACTCCTGAAGATTTAGATCACTTGATTGCAAATAACCAAGCAGGGGCTCAAGTGCACCGGCATCCACTATCTTGGTTTTATTTCTGCACAGATGGAACAAACATAAGTTAGGAACCATTCGCATCAAAAATAGTCCACAACAAGCCAAATATTCATGAAAAAGCTACACCACTCATCACATTTCATATAGGCCAGAGCAGCTATGGATTTTGTACATAAATTTAAGGCTTTCCGGTCACAACACCACAACGACATAGTTTCCCTAATGGCATCCAAGTATGAACTTAGACCAAGATGTACACAATGCCACCGTGGCAATACATTTTACTGAATTAGATGTTACTTCTTTATGTCTAATTTCAAGATCTGAAACAAGTACCATAAATGTGAGATATGGGCAACTGAATTATATAATTGCCCATACATGTCAAGAGGAGAGGAACTTGAGGCCCTAAATGTCGCTCCCATACCTTATCCTGTCTGCGCTAGGCCAGAAAGCAGTATAGCAGCTAAAAACAATGTTCCATACTTCCATTTACGGGGCTATTTGGACAAGAATTTGACACTCCCAAGTCCCAACTATTGGAACCGTTTTATTCCACTACAAGAACTGAACAGAAGCCATCAGTCTTGACAAAATGATTGCCTGAACACAACAGTTGCTCGATTTATCATAACCCTACGTCCCTAACCTTGTTTTGGTTCTAGTGCAGCAAGGGGGGGGGGAGTTTAGTAGATGTCACATCGGGTATTTATGTACTAATTAGAAAGACTTAACATGAGTCTAATTAGTCTCAATCTGTGCAATTAGTTTTGTAATTAGTCTACTTTTAATACGTCATGCATGTGTCCAAACATTCGATGTGACAGGGACTAAATTTTAGTAGGTGGAACCAAGCACCAGCTAAAAATTCTGGTACATATCACCATACCTATCTAACTCCACCTTTAGGTACAGGTGACAAGTTGGTACGAGTCCTGAAGGAACGTGAGGTCAACATGGTTGGATATGTACCAAGACAATTAGGTCACGGCATGGGCACAAAATTTCCAAAGGAAGTACCGGATAACTGTATCTTGGCCGCAGCCGGCGGTTGAAAAGAGGGCAGAAATATTAGGCAGGCCAAGAAACTCTACAAAACAAAATGCTTGTTTCCAAGTCCCTGATGTTAGATTTTTCTCAGAAGCAGCCAACCAGGGAAAGTGTGGTTGGCAGCCTTCGGTCAGCTCCAAAACGAGACCAACTGCCTCTTGTGACATCTAAACCGGCCGTTTTCTTAACCTCTTTTTCGTGTTGCCATTTTCCAAGAAATTTATACCACAGACCAGGAAACCCCAGATTGGTTGATGGGTCATGGGAATAAAATCTCTGTGCTACCAGCAAATACTCTTGCGATTGCTGAGCGTCTAAAAAAGCAACAGGGTAACTTACTGCTAGTTGATGATGACACCGGTTCGAAATTGGATGCGTTGTTATCCTATCAAGCAGGTTTCTCAGAATATGCTTGTGAATATATCCTTAATCACTAGGTAGCTAACAAAAGTGAAGAAGATGTCTTCAGTTTGCATCATGGTAAAACTAAACAGATAGGCTGAGCTACTACTGACGATTCTAGGATTGAACATCAATCGGCACAGCTCTGCAATCGTAGATTTTTTCACCGATTCTTTTTTTAATGGTATAAATAAACAAAGAAAAAGTCATCAGGTTAATAAGCCGCCACCACTAAAAAAATAGAAGAGGGACATAGCAAAATCAGTTCCTTAGGCGCGGATTTTATAAAATTGTAAATAGGTTGATGCTGCGAAGAGACGACGGAGAAGGCAACTTTTACCATGAATCGGCGTCGGCGGGCGTATGCCAGAAAAAAACGAAGCAATCGATAAGGTTTTTGCCGAATTTGGATTTGGTGTAAAACGTATCATACTTTCGAAAAATACAATAAAGCGGTTCACCCCGAAAGCAGCAAGGCCTTATCGAATTTATCGGAGGAGGCCGTGTAGATTTTCTACCTTTTTTCTCTCAGAAAAAAAAATCAGAATCACACAGAAGAGAAGGCAAGTCGAGGAAAGGGTTCGCTTAGCGGCGGCTCGCCCAACTACGCACCTCTCGTCCCTGACGGCGAGGTTGAGCAGCGCGAGGAGCGCGGCCTCCCCAGCCTCGGGCGCGGCGGAGCGGAGCATGGCGACGAGCGGGTCCACGGCGGCTGCGAGCTTGCGGCGGTGCCTCGCGGATGCCCTGGTGAGGCGGCGCACCTCGCGGGCGGCGTCCACCTCCCCGGCGCGCACCCGGTCGACGAGCGCCTGCAGCGCCGCCGCCTCGGACGGGCGCTCCGCCGCCGCCGCTCCCGCCGTCGGCGAGACGGGGGACGCCTCCCCGGACGAGCACGCCTCCGGCGACTCCATCTTCGTCGGTCGCGGGTGTGAGGACGGGGTGCGTCGGTCCTTGCCGCGCCTCTCTCTCCGTGTGCGTGTGTGAGCGCGAGTTAGCGAGAGAGGGAGAGAGACGGGGAGGGAGGTGGGGCAACAGCGCTGCATCTTATTGCGGCCAGGACAGGGGCGCAGGGCGACGGGGACGGGAGGTAACTGACGGCCACGGCGACGGCCGTCAGCTCCGTTTTTTCTAACACCCGTTCCGTTACGTTCCAGTTGGGTGTCTTTTTTTTTTTTTTGCCGTTTGGCTGGTTACTGTGTACTTACTGCTACTGCTCGTGCATGAATGCGTTGTTTCGGGGTGGGGTGACAGTCCCTGGACACGGTAACTGTTGCACCCACGTGGCACGCCCAGCTGGCAGCGCAGTTCGATCGGATCAGCCAGCCTTCCATATGGCACGGACCAGGACTGTTCATTTGAAAACGGGATTTGAATTTAGCGAATCAAAAGGGCACGGGAAGCAAATCAAACCCGCCATTCTTTTTCCAAGAGGTATTGAGAGTAGGCAAGCGCCATGTACTGTATCTGCACATGCACACAGTAATTCTCGCTTTGATTCCAACTAACACCCTGATCGCTGGATGGTGGCGGGTGGTGGTGCTGATGTTGATGCTGATTTGTTGTGAAAGAAAGATACTGCTGAATGGTTGACTGATTTTAGCTGATAAGTTCAAACGAACGTGATGTAAAGATGCACAGTCTGGATCATTTGGGGGGTAAACGAGGAAATGGAGAGATTAGGACGCATCGTCCATCATGGAGCATCGTCACCAACCAAGCGGCAGGCGCGCATGGCCAGGACGGCAAGTCGACAGCGAGCCAGTGGCACTCAGCTCATCGTGGTCGTCATCAAATGAGCAAGTTAACTTCCGAATCAGGGCGCACTACTCCGACTGGAACCTCCCTCTCCGGTCTCCATCCGCGCGCACGTCATCGCCGGCTGGTTAATCGGCGAGCCCATCGAGCGAGCGCGCAAGGCCACGTGGATGGCCGCCTGGCCTCGGGGCGGCGACAGCAGCGGGGACGGGGAGGCCTGCGGCAGAGGGCGGCGAGACACGTAGGAGTCCTGTGGCCCACGGCAACCCGACCGGTCGGTCTCGCCTCCCGCGGCCAATTCAGGTGGGTGGGTAGAGTCCGGTCGGCGACGGATCGCTGTGCAGTGCAGGCACCATGATGGCGATGCTGTTAACAGTCTTCACCTCGCCCGCATGCAGCTGCGGCGTGCGTTCTTCTATCTTCTCCCGTACGTAGTTGTCGTCTTCTATCGTTGCATTTCCATAATCGCATCACATCAAACATCCATACGTACGGTACGTAGCCTAGTTTATTGCCGAATGGAGCGCATCTGGTCGTCCTCGTCCACGACCTGAGGTCACAGTGTCACACCATCTTTCCCGCGCGCTCTTTGTTTTTTTTTTACCCAAATTGATTATTGGTATTATTCTATCTCCTTTTCTATATATATATATATATATATAGTTATTGTTATTGTTCCAACTTGTGAATCAAGACCAAAGGAATATATATAATCGTTTGGTCACTTGGATGACAAAGCATATATATACCCCTTATTATTCTTAATTTAGGTTACAATTCGATCACCTACGACCTACGCACGTACGGGACCGTCGCCGTCGCCATTATTTTGCCGGAGAATGGAACTAGTAAGGAGTAGTCGTAACTGGTACGGTACGCACGTGGTGAGATCGCCGATCGATCGTCGTGCTTCGTGCTTCGGCAACCTCTCCATGGATCGGTCGGGCCGCGAAAAATGAAAACCGATGGCCAGCCAGTAGCCCAGTAGGAAGGCACTACCGTGCCGTGCCCGTGACAGTGTACACGTAGTCCAGCTAAGCTGCACGCGCGCTACTTGTTGCTGGTTGCAGGGCGGCCATTGATTCCTTGTCCGCTGCCGACTACGCATACGCACGTGTGCGCGTCACGTACGGAGCAGCTGTATGTACTTGTCCAGCTAGGCAGCCTGCGTGGCGTCAACGAAACGGAGGAAGTGGTGGATCCAAGTCCGAGGGGGAAGCTAGCTAGCTGATCGAGCTGCCTTGCTTGCCTCAACGGCCGGCAGGCCGGCACGCTCGATCTCGATGATTCGAGCTAAGCTGCCTGCCGCCGCAGCGAGATTCAGGGCCGGGGGGAGACGCCCAGCCCAGCAGGCAGAGCGTCAGTGCACTCTCCACAGTGACAGTGAAGATCCGTTTGCACATGCATCTCTGCAGCTGGCAGAAGAGTAGCTACTGTCGTTGGCCGCCTGGCCTTGTCGCTCCTGTGCTGCATTGAGAGAGCATTGCACGTGTTGGACCGACGGAAAAATATGCATAGCTCTCAACCGTGTCTGTCCATAGTGCTAGGCAACAGATCTGTTGGGTCATCTGCATATATAATATGCAGGAGGAGTACTGATTTTGATCACTACAATGTTACTGTTTCGTTTTCTGCTATATACGGAGTATACTGATGGCAACAAACACACAACGACAAAGAGAGTTGCACCTTTCAGATGGTATATATATCCACCAACTTGGAGCAGAGAGAGAGAGAGATCGAGGGCGCGATCCACCGTGGTACCTACGGTCGATCGGATCATCATTAAAAAAAATGGAAATCGACAAAATGCTGCGTCGGTTAGTTGAGGGGAGGCTCGCTTTCGTGTATATATTCGTCAGCTCAGGTGCCTGCATCTCATGATCTGATGGACGGATCACCAACCCGTACCCTGTTTTTTATATATATATATATATATGATAGCTGCCACGCCTCAATTTCGATCGCATGCTGCTGTATTGGCGTTATTTCCCGCCTCACCTAGGACCCGCTAAAGATCCACCAGAATTTCAGGGCTCCAACCGATTTATAATCTTGGCACACCAGTATTATATATTTGTAATTAGCGTAGCTAGCTTTGGCTGGTGACCTGGTGTAACCACTTGATCGCACGCTGATGGATTGTCGCCTTTTCTTTTTCTTTTTGTCTTGTGATGATATTGCTCAACAAAAGTGCTGTACGTACAGTACATGCAGCATCAGGAGAGAGATGCGTGCGTCCACGCCGGCTTAGTTTGTAATGTTGTTGGAATGAAATAAAGAAGCCACTTTAGGAACACGTTATTGATAAATATGAAGAGGCAAAATATAATACCAAATGGATCTGATTTGCTTGTAATTAATTTTCAATGGTGATCAGACTTTAGCGAGTTGATGAGGAATTTTTGTGTTCTTTTAGAATTTCTATGATTTTATAACGTATTTAAGAAGATTAATGTGGGGGATGTAATTACTAATAGTTATATTTTTTCTAACCCAGGATATGTAATTTGGATGCATATTTAGAGAGTTACTTTAGGTTAATTTCATCCTGGCATAAGAACATAATCTAGATGCAAGTTTTAGGGGTTATTTTATTTTTTAAAAAAAATTGGTATGGCCAAGTACACTACTATGAGAACAATTTGTTGAGGTGGACATTTTATATTTCTAGAGGCAGGCGGCCATCTGCGAAGTGATCTATGTTAATGCGTAATTTCTAGAGTCAGTCGAGCGGCCCATCTCTGAGACAGGCGTCTTTAAGCCGCTCACCTCTCTTAATCGCATTGACAGAGAAGACAACCATAAGAGTTATTGACTTTTTTTTAGAAAAGAAAACAAAAGCATAGAAACAAAGGTGGCTACAAGTAATTTAGATGAATATGTGGCATTGCTTTAGGTTGTTTTAATAGTGACATACATATGTTTTATGGGGTTAATTTATACTATATTTTATAATTGAAGAAATTGTTAACTTAAAAAAGAATTGATCAAATGGTTATTTTTGCTAATGATGCCTGGACTCATGTCCGGACCTTTTTTTTGGAATTTCTAGGGTCTTTTTTCTTAGCATGTCTTATGAGAATTGGTATGTATAGACTAAAGGGGTATTTAATCAATAGTAGAAACTAGTCTGTTCTAACCTCTACTAAATACCTAGGACTCTCATATAGAGTACTAGAATGAACCAAATAACTTTTGCACCTATCATAACATTTAACATGGAGACTATGAAACGTGTCTCTAATTATTAGAGTTTGTTTGGATAACTTTTTTATGATAGATTATTATAATCAAACCACTTGATTATCATAAACCCATAATCCAGGTGAAACCAGATTATAGGGGATTATGGATGATGAAAGTCCAACTTGCCCCTAACTCATTGTTCAACTTGCCAAACTATAATAAAGTATAAAATAGGAATTTCTCACTTTAACCAATCATAATCAATCACCATATAATCCATTGAGCCAAACACTCTGATTGTTATAATCCATAATCCGGATTATAATGATCATATACATAATCTAGATTATAATAATCGAGCCATGATCCAAACAGTCCCTTATATGTGTTGGGTTATATAGGTGAATGGATAATAATCTAGCACATATAATAATCTAGGGAAGACCCAAATAAACTAGATTGTAATAAGTCATATTCCATATATTATTGTAATCAAATCCACAATTTATATTGTAATAATCCAAAAGAGGATCCAAATGGTAGTAGTTGTGGGGAAAAAACTGACAAGTGAGCCCCATCTGCAATGGTTCATCCCACTTTTGATGACTCTGAACCAAACAGAAAATGGGCTGGTCCTATCCTATCTCAACCAAACAGAAAATGGAGTTGTCTCGTCCCACAAACCAGAGATGGGACCATCCTGCTCCACCTACTCCCAGCCAAACGCTACCTAAACATGAGATATTATAGTTGCCACATTATACATAGGTGATGTAGTTTGTTTTTTCCTCCCCTTGCTTGTGAGCCTTGATATTTAGTTACATAGTATGTCATATAACACTATAACTATTAAAAATTCGTTTAACCGGGCTCTCAACCGGGTTCTTCTGCTTAGATACTATATTGCATTATGTAAGGACTTTGACTTATCTTCAAATGATCTAGCCTATGGTAAGAGCCGCCCAAA